TGTCTGCTATTATTTTTAGCGCGTGATCAAGAAGCTGCAAGGAAAGAAGCGCAAGAGAAGCATTTGCGAGGCGACCGCGATGTCGACTGTGCACGTTAGGTCATCCCGCAGGCTTGGCGCGCATAATTAGCGGCCGTTCTGTCACCAAAGCATGTTCGACCGATCGCGATCTGTCTACCGCACCCTTTTCGACCGCTCATCTACCTGGTATGCCCGCAAAAGCAGCGGGAAATTAAAGTCGTTGGGTACAGGCGAGAATACGTTCACTTAAGAATAAGTTCACGATCATGATCTAGAAAATCTATTAGATAAGATTCTATGTATTGGGTATGATTACACTGTCAGGCCTTTCTTGCAAATGTTTAATATTCAATAAGACTACTTAATTGGCTTATTTAATTCAGGAATATATAAACGCGAATAAATTATACATTTTAAATGGTACAAATTATAAACATGAGCAGTAGTAAGATGCCAGATCTCTTCCATCATATTAAAAATATAAAATATCTAAAACTCTGTAACTTATTATAATAAAAAAAAACAAATTTATATTGAACATATACGTACTGATTACATAAACTCATATTTTGAATTTCTAACGGATACTGTAAGGCCATCATTTGATTTATGAATTTTTCAATGCGAGTTCGATATTCATTGTAAGTTTGGTTTGTTAATGTGTTATGTTTCCCTTATATGACGATTCGATCTAATATTACGTTATGCGTTGTTATTTGTACTTTTTAAATAAATTCTGTTTATGAATATTCGCCGATTAAGCAGAGATTCTTTTGGAAAAAAAGAGACGTAAAGCGCTCTTATTCTTCATTTTGTAAGAAAGGAGAACTTTGTTTCTCTGTTACTCCAAAACAATCGCCGTTGCAACATTTTCCCGCAAACCGTTCGTAGTCAGTTGCTCTAAATTTCTTTTTAAAAAAATGAAGGAACCTACGTTAGTATATATGATCTCAACATAATTCCTTTTTGTTTGGTGTTATTTATATTAATTTACGAAGAATAGTTATTTTGTATTATATATTAACACATTGATTGCCACGACAATCTTGAGAGTTTTATATGTTGCTTATTCTCTCGTAACATGCATGAATAGAAGCAATTATTGATCATTTAATTCTTACTTTACATTACTATCTAATTACCTACGCTATTAAACATTTTAATGCGACATCAATCATCTTACATTCTGTGATTGTGTTCGAGCAATTCGGAAGTGTCAGTCATCGGTGACCACCACGGTAGTTAACGTGTTAACAATATATATATATATATTAATAATATTTTTCTTACTTATTATACTTTTACTCTAATCCATGCGCACCAAACAACATTGATTTTTATTAAATTAATCCAGAAGTCTTTATCACGAGTCTTACTCGTCATTGCAGAGCAAGAGGTTAAATGGATTATAAAAAGAATTGCACCAGAAGAACAAGGTCCTATAATCTTTTAGCAATTCTGTTACTGTAAGCGACAAAGTTGTGAAGAAAATATTTTGTTCTAGTATTGTATACTTTCTTCTTTTCGCTAGGACTTATGACGTGGTTTTTATTTTCGGTTATATTGCTAGGTACAAAGTTCAATATAATGACACATACGGAAACACCCACTCTTTATACTTCAGGATCTAAAATCTTTCGTTACTTAGAAGATAGAACCGCCATTTTTGTTGGTGAATGGATTAGAAGGATGATGGTTCGTGAAAAAAAACTTCTTGGACTTTCCAGATGTGTCATTACAGTGTGTCATTTTATTTAGGAAGTAATACAATCTATCGATTGGTAATTCAATGGATCTTGTAATCTCATTTTATCAAATAACCACATCTATATCCGCATATCGAAGGATGCAGTGTTCCTAGAATGTGTAGGTAAACTGCTGTGCAAAGTTTAGTGATCTTTATATTGCATAAAGCAATTTTAAATATTTAACAAATATTAGTAAATGATAGAAGAAATCATAATAGTCAACAAATTAAATATTGCTTTAAGATGTGTACTTTTTTATATTAAATAATTTAGTTTTTAATTTGTATCTATTTTTTAATTATTTCCATTTCTGTATTATACAACTGATGTGAAATATTTTCAATAAATGTATTATGTTGTACATTCATTAATATAGTAAAATATTAAGTATAGTGAAACTCCTAGTTAAACATGCTGCGATCAATATAAGTTTCACTTTAGCCTTACTATTTATTTATGTGTAATTATTTATCTTGTTATCGATCTAAGAAAATAAATTCCATTACTGGGAACAAAACTATATTTTATTAATCATGTTAGTAGTATCCGTTAACACAAGAATTATAGGATGGATCAAAATTACTCATCTCTGATTCCTCCTTTTATAATTATGGAGAAGGTATACAAATTCTTTTGAGAAATTATTAAAGTAGTTGATTGAGTAATATGCAAACAAAAATATAAGACAATTAAAATCTTAATAAATGGACTTTTATGGTTTCTATAAATAAAATTGCATCATCTTAAATAAATATTTTATATTGAACAATTTAGTAGATGAATAACAAAGAAATGTAATAGGAATAGTGAAATATATAAATCATTGCTCTGTTTATGAGTTCTAGTAATTGAATCATTATGAAAACACTAATACATATGTAAATAGCTGATTCAGTATACTATACATGTATACAACTTTTAGATTTAAGATTAATTTCATTTTAGTGCTGTTATTTTTATATTATTATAACTGTTATTAACAAATTAATATCCTAGATTAATATTTACTTTGCAAATGTTTGATTCTGCTGGTACGAAAATACCTATTTTTCACATTTGCCCGTGTGTGTTTAGCAATGTTACCCTACATTTATAAATATGCTGGAATTAGTCCCTAAATATTAATGATATGATTAAATAAATTTGTCTGAAATTATAATTAAACATCTTAAAGTGCTTATAATTAATTACGAATTTTTTATATATAATTGCATTAGCTGTTAAGTCTCATTGGAGTTGTTGTACATTTGTTTTATACTCAATAAATAATATTACTATATTTTGCAGCAGCAAACCGAGTACTTATTAGTTTCAGTATTGAATTTTTCACAATTAGAATCAAATATTTTACTGTTGAGAACTGTACTGTCCATTTATTGTTACATTTATTTTAATAAACCTATAGTAAAAAAGAATTTATCCATAGTAAATAATTATTTTGAATATATTATAATAATATTTTGAAGAGTGTTGTTTCATAATTTTTCCTATATTTACATATAAATAATTGTAAAATTACCAACGAAGTTAAACACTGGTGCAGTTCATAATTTATTGCTTTAGTTTGATATAATATTACTTATTTTATTTGTATTATGCTTTCTGTAATTATGTACACTAGAAGATGAAAGAAATCATAAATGGTTAAAACGAGTAATTTACACACTGAATGGAATGAACCCGCTGTGGTGTCTGAAGATTAGTGGAAATGAAATTCATGACACTCCTGTCTGGACGATATCCTGATTGTCAAAACTTTTTCCAAGAAAAGTGTCTAAAAACTTTGTTTCGTTAAGTTATCATACGTCAGCTTCAAGACTGTGACGATTGTTTCCTTACAGAAATTACATTATCTACGTCATTACGAGGGACTTCCACGGACTAAAAATAGCGAACTCTCAGAATATAAAGTTACTCGTCTAGCATAATTACAAAGTGTTTTTCTAGAGTGAAATCATTTGAAGATGCAGTACTAGATAAATGATGAAGCACAATTTTGTTGAATTGAATTATTATAGTAACGTAGTTTTTACATCAAAGGTCACTCTACCTATTTTTCTATTGTATTTTTGAATAAGTAATAATTGTAACATTATGTAAAAATAAACCATATTAAATTCTAATTAATTAAACGACATCCTGAATTTATGATTTTTGAATTAATAACATTATAGTATTTATAGAGTCAGTATACTTGAAACATTCAGAACATTTATAATTGAAGAATTCTTACAGAAATATGTATATTGAAATACGAGAAATGAATAATTACAAAATCTGTCAAAATTTTCAATTAGTAGAATCGTTGAAGAATTCTTGGTTCATAAAATAATTTTCGATAAATTATAAAAGAGTGCCTCAAAAGCAATTTTATAATATTTTATGAATTCGAAAATAATCACAAAACGTTTTGATGACATTGTTAGTACATCTTAAATCATATAATCGGTACATAATTCACCATTTAGTTACTCTGTTTTAAAATTGAATTTATTTAGAAAATACATATATGAACTTGTTTCTTATCCTCTCTCATTTACCTATATAGATCTGTATAAACCTATGGAGAAGATATTTTTGTACTTTACCACTTTGATTCATTAAGATGCAGTTAATGTGATTAAAAACTGAATGATTTTTAACTTGGTTATGCGTTTACAACATGTAAACAATTGTACAACGAGTTTGACGTCAATATCTTTGTTGGTATATGAACTTGAAGATTCATGTTTAATGAAGAAAACATAACAATATTTATTAAATTCTAAATTTTCAGAAAGATTTCATATTTTTACAGTAACGACGTAGTTTGCTCACATAAATTATTTTGTTATCACGTCATGTAAACTTCGTCATCGTGGATTTTCTTAACTTCCGTGAATGAATTGAGTGTACACATATTAGATATATAGTAAGTACTAAAGGTGTATATTTTTTCTTCTTGAAGAATATACAATCATATCCGGTTCCTTCATTCTTATTGAATCTTTTTTAATGTTTTTGCAAATGTTCAATTCTATCAATATTTAATAAGTGCAATAATTATTCTAATATTAATAAGTACAAGAGTTACTCACAATTCAAATCAAATTGACCAAAAACAGGCATTAAAAAATGTACATCCTTACATTTTGTTTAAATATTTCACGTCAAAAGTAATTATATTATTTTCTCATATGTAAGATTCACATTCTAAAATATTTATTAGAAATATGCCATATTTTAACTTACCTTATTTTTGGAGTAAATTTTCGTGAAAGCCTTTACAGTCGAATTCTGAAAAGAGAAAACGAAAAATCATTTTCATATGTACACATAAAAGAAGTATGAAATATTATTGATTATTTAATATATAGAGTGTATTAGTTTTAAATGATCAAATTTCACCAGTCTGTTTTATGAATAAAAACAGCAAGAAATGTTACATAAACACACGTTTGCAAACATTTTATGAAAAAGTGACCGTTCAAAACTTATACACCTTCTATATGTATATGACCGTCATAACTATTCAGGCAGTACACATATTTCTCCATTTATGAGGTATGTTAATTTATTTGATAAGTTACTGCAAATGAAATTTTCAATCAATTGATGTTACCCGCAGTCAGTTTGTTGATGGACGTCAAGAATGGTAAACAGTTAACTCTTTCGTTAATTCGCATTGAAAATTCATTCAAGTGTTTTAAGATATATTTAAACTCTATGTAATGATCACTCCGAGCTAAACTACATAATCTGCGAATGTCCCTAACATGTTTACCCTATGGTTTCTCACATTTCTGAGGAGCCAGATTTACTGATGCGGTAATAAGCGAATAAAAACAGATAGCCATCCTTCAAATATGCAGGTATTGATCCTCAATCAAGTGCTCAAACTTAAGTTGCTGCAGTTGTTGAATACTCACAGTTCATTAATATCACGCTTTACAAATTTATCATATTCTTAATATATTTATATTATTTGTAAAAATTCTATTCCAAGCGATATTATCTTTCCTTTTTCAAATTCACGGTAATGTTTATAAAATAAATGATCATCCTTAAGTAACAACGAATAGTTTGTCCAAGGATGGATAACGTAATTTTTTGATTTACGTAATACTTTTCTGAGACAACCACTGATCTTTTCTATAGAACATTTACACAATTTTTTACAGTTACAAAAAATGAACATTTTATATTTCTTGTTTTCTTTGCAGATTTTTTAAAATATCATTAATAAATCATATGTTAGATATATTATGGATGCAGTTCATTGAAATCGAAATTAGGCACAACACGAATACGGTGAAATGGGGGGGCTGAGCTATCGAGATAAGATTATGAAAGATTATCGGTAGAGACGATGGGGCACCTGTTGCGCTGGTTTCCTCGTAATCGCTCTGTATTTCAGCAGAGCGTAGGCAAGTTCCTCTTCGGCTGAAACAGCTGTGCAAGTGTCATCCGTGAATTCTGTATCGTTTGCACTATCCTGACATTCCGTACATAGTAAAGAAATTGGTCATTTAAATGTTGGTCTTGGTTAGGGAATAGGCGATCTCAATTGTACAGAGTGGAATGGTTGATTCAGTCAAAAATTGTGCGATCCTAGGTGATGGAACAAATTGAAAATATAGAATACAATTTTTTGTTTATTTCTTCATTTTGTCAGTCACGCGTAAGTACATACCCATATGCGTATAACTAATTCCATAGATAATAAAAAAGATAGCAAAATACAGATACCAAAAATATCCAAAAAATCTCGGAGAACATTTTTTTATTTGACAATTTGTTTTCAGGAAAATAGAAATTTTACGCATTTTTTAATAGTTTGCCAATTTCAAGTGATAAATTTTCAAAATGAATTTTCTCAAAGTTGAGATTCCTTTATAGATTTTAAATCTTGATCTTCTCAGGGAGTTCATTTGAAATAGAAATATTTTCTTTTACATTTTGTACATTTTCACATGGAATTCCTGTCTGATACCATACACGTTGTCTTGTTTAATTTTTCATGACAAATATTTTCTTTACAGTTGACAGTAAATAATAAAAAAGTTATAAAGGAAAAATTATATAACTTTATATGTATTACCGTTTCCATAAATCATTTCAAATAAATCAGAATAATGGGAATGTAATTGATTGACTACAATCTCTTGTAAAGTAAATTATAATTAATAAAACTTTATTAATTTTATTCATTACACACATTATCCGATTTAGTTGAACGCCTATCACTTAAGATAAACAGAAATGCGAGAAGAAATGTTTCAAACCTGCGTAAAATTCGCTATATTTCAAATTACTATTTAAGAATTCAAATTATTAAGTTCCAATTAAACTCAGACTCCGCACAATCTAGAAAATAAGGATTCTATTAACCCCTTGCCATGCAATATCAAGTCGGACTCGTTAGAAACGTTCCGAACAAAAACTATAAAAATTAAATATTAATCATTTTGGGTTCAAATGAAACATTCATTTCCTGTTGTTAATTATGTTCCGAAATAAAAACAGATATAGATAATGGTAATTTTCCTTTGTCTTTTAGTAAATAATTAAGAACAAAATTATCCTAAGGAGCGTTACGAAAGAAATCATAGGGCAAGAGGTTAATCGAAGTCCTATTGTGATACATTCATCAGAATGCACTTAAAAAGTAAATCCTTCCCGCAAGCAAGGAACATTTCAGGAATATCTGTCAGCTGCGAACATAGCAGGTACTCGCAAATCACACGCATATAGCTTGGCTCTCGTGACGCGTGGCTCGAGAGGTCCATGGCTTAAACTTGCCGGACGTATGTATATAAGTAAGTGCGGATCATTTCCTCCGGCTGATTCATCGCGTGCGTTAGCTTCACCCTTCTAGGTCGTAATGGCGGATCAGTCCGTGCGAGGTCGAAAGATCGCACGATATCGTATTACCCTCTGTCGGAGGGTGCACCTGTGCGCAGAACTTCGGTGGCATCGCGCCACGCATTCCTCTCTTGGGGGATCGGGCCACCGCTCTCTCATTTTTCCGTCTTCCTCTTGTCTTCCGTAGTTTCCATCCTTTCTTACCCTTCGTTCATTCACCTAGCGGCTGGCCGGTTCTCCCGATAAGATTGCCAACACGGCTCTATGCGATTGCGCCACCGTCAACAACACGAGCCAACGGCATCATTCATTCATTCATGCCTGAGCTCAACTCGATCACCGTCGCGCTGTGAGCTGTATCGATTGAATCGCCGATATGAAACGCTGCCAGGCGGTACGGAAGTCGTACAGATTTCGAACACGTTACCACTTGGTTTTATCAACTCGACTCGTGAGATTATGCACGTAGGTACATTTTCAATCCTGAAGGTGACAAACGTCACGTCTCTTCTCACTGGGCGCGGAAGGAATAACAGAGATTTAGTTGCCAATTGAGTAACAATTAGAAACTTATTACTAATGCTGCTGCATGTTTAGTGTTGTATTTTTAAGAGATTCTTTGTGTATTATTTTTGTTTTAAGAGGAAGCTTTATTATCTCATGTGAATGTTTAAATATTAATTCAGAATAAAAAATCCCTTGGTTTTTTAGAAAGTTTCTCATTTAGTGATCAATTTTTCAAATTCATTTTTTGCATTGATGTTGGAGAATTTATATGAAATAATAAAGCTTTCTGTTGAGACTAAAATTTTAACTTCAATATTATTAAATCCACCGTTTCTAGTGTTATATCAGATATAACTTGATAAATATTCTTTTTCTAGATACTTTTGTACTAATTATTTATGTAAACATTTACTTTTGAATATATTTATGAATAAAAATCTAAAACTGTTAAATCTAGTCAGTTTGCAGACTGGTTGATTTTTTAAGGTCTTTAACGTTTGATCAGTATCAATGATTCTTTGATTTATTAATTTAGAATTATTTGTTGATTTGCGGAATACCACTTCACTTTGCCGGTATTTTATAAGTAAAGTCGTAGGAATATTATTATTCTATTAAGATATTAGATACGTTACTGCTCACACGACTGTTTTTTAACCAGTTAACTGTGGAATTTCATTTAAAAAATCTCTGATTGCGCTCGCAATAAAGTCAAGCAATGAAATATATACTCGCCAAAGACAGTGCAAATGTAGCTATAATACATACTGACGAAAAACTAAAGTAAAACGAAGAAGGATTACATGCGTATCTGAACAAATCACTAATTCATCGTTGAAAAGATCAGAATCATTCCAAGCTTTAAGGTGATGTGTATACTCGTCAAATGCAGTTAACTGGTTAAACTCTAACTTCAGCGATCAACTGATTACTTTAGCAAAAACAAAGGGCGGTCTTTTTCGAACGACCTTTATACGTTGTTACCTACAGTTTTGTCTACAGCCAGGCAAAGAAGTTACCCAGATGAAACGTACATCGAATATTTAAATAAATTTTATATGCGATTCGCTTCAAGGTGGACGTGGGAACGAGATTAAGCCGAGAATTTCCAATTGTAATTTTCGAATAATATTAATAAATTAGATATAACTTTAATCTTCTCGGTTAAGAAAGTTGTCCAGACTGTTTAGGTATTTTTAGAAATAAAATTGCGCTGTACTCGAAGTAGACGAATCATAAAAACTACGAAATGAAAATATTCATTTAAAGACATTTCTTTAGGTACGTTTTAGAAATACTCTTTGAAAAAGAACTTCATTTAACATCAATGTACTAAATTATTTTAAAACAATTTTTTCATTAATTTTAATTCTTCAAAGTGAGAGTTGGAAATTTTAAGTAATAAATAAAGTTAATAGAAATTATCAGTAAGAAAATTATTTATAAAATTATTTCACTTAATAATTAGTTAAGTAGAAATAGAAATAAAAATAATCTAAATTGAATTCTTGAAGAGTTGGCTTGAGCTCTTAAAGAATGATGTGTATAATTGTTTATTGTAGATTTTATTTTTGTAATAAACCATATTATGTTTAAAAATTTATAATATTTTGTTGTAGATTGGTTTTTACATATACAAACTTCAATTATGTTTTAAAAAAGTAATCAACTATGCCTACAAGAACTTGTATTTAAAATTTTCAGAAAGGACGAAGGAAATATTTTCTATATATAAGATTCAGATTTTCATTATGGATAAATGAAATATAAAATAGAATATTATTTATACAATATAAGTTCTTTCAATAATTACAATCGAAGTAATTATACCAAATTCTTGGTTTGATTATCAAAACTATTACTAGCAATATTACTGAAAGAGTGAAATATGTATTATTTATAATATTATTCTAACGTTTAATAAT